GGGGGGGCTCAGTGCAAACCAAACCACCCCTGGCCCACCCTTGCCGACCCCAGGACCCCCAGGATGGGACCCCCAGAGCAATACTCACATCCTTCTCGTAGGGAAACCCCCCGTTCTCCAGCTTGGAGAAGACGAGCTGCCCGTTGATCTCGATCTCGAAGGCACCTGAGGGCACACAGGGGGCCCAGCCCTGAGCTGTGCCCCCCCCCAAACACCCCCACACCGTGCCCCACACATCGCCACCAGCACCCAGGGCACCCCCGGGTCCTCCTGCAGACCCCCAGACCCCAAACTCTGCACCCAAAACGACCCCGGGGAGGGGCAGCAACCACAGCACGACCCCCCGAGAGTCACCGCGGGGTTTAACCCACCTCACCCCCCCGACCCCCCATGAGGGCAGGTGTGACCCCCCACTGCGGTGCCCCCCAGGAGCCCCCCGAGGGCGCTGTGGGGCCTCACCGGTGCCCCCCAGGCGGGACTCGATCTCGATGTCCGGGTACTCCTCCCGCACGGCGCTCGCCAGCTCCTGGTACGTGGGCTCGAACCCACAGGGCTCGCTGGGGGTGGGAGGGGAGTGAGTGAGGGGGCGTCCGAGGCACAACCTCCCTATAACCCCCTGCTCCACCCTCCAACCCCCCAAATCCCCTTCCTCAGCCTCAAACCCCCCTATAACCCCCTCCTCAGCCCCCCACTTCTCTCACCTTGTAGAGCCCCTCAACCCCCCAAATCCTCCTCCTCAGCCCCCCAATCCCCCTCCTTAGCCCCCAAGCTCCCCTACAACCCCCTCCTCAGCCCAAATCCCCTATAACCCGCCCTCCCCCCCAAGCCCCCTATAACCCGAACTGCCCAAATTCCCCCTCCCAGCCCCCCACACTCCCGCACACTTCCCTCCTTAGCCCCCCCTTCATCTCCCAGGCCCCTCCGTGCCTTCACCCCCCCAGTCCTCACCCCCGTTCCCCCCCCTTCGTCCCACTGCCCCTTCCGGGCCCCCAACACCCCCGGGGGCCGGGGGATCCCCTGGGTGCCCGCGGTTCCCGCTGGCCCGGGCGGTGCCGGCTCTCACCAATACTCCACGACGATGCGGACCCGCCGTTCGGCCCCGGCTCCGCTCCCGGTCTCGTCCTCGGCCCCGCCGCTCATGGCCCCGCTCCCGCCGCGCCGCCGCTTCCGGGTTGCCGTCACGTGACGCGGAAGCTTCCGGCCGCTCTGCGCCCCCGCCCCGCCTCGTCTTGTCTGCTCCGAGGCCTCCGGAGGACCCGGCGTGACCCCGGTGACCCCGGGGGGGGGGGGGGCAAAAATGACCCTCAGCGACCCCACACGGGGGACCCAAAGTGACCCCAGTGACCCTCCTGGAGGACTAAAAGTGACCCGCAGTGACACCCCAGTGTCACCTACACCCACCCCACAGGGACCAAAAACGACCCCAGTGATCTCCCCTGGGGGACCCAAAGTGACCCCAGTGACCCCCCAGGGGACCAAAAATACCCCAGTGACCCCCCAGGGGGACCAAAATACCCCAGTGACTCCCCAGGGGACCAGAAATACCCCAGTGACCCCCCAGGGGGACCAAACTCGACCTCCAGTGACCCCCAGGGGACCCGGAGTGACCCCAGTGTCACCCAAACCCACCGCAGGGGGATCCAAAATGATCCTTGGGGGACCCACACAGGGGCCTGAAATGACCCCCCAGGAGCTCTCTGGTCCCATGGGGGTCCCCACTGCTCTGTGGAACCCCACCCTCCCCCCAATACTCCCATGGGGGTCCTGTAGGGCCTTGTGCCCCCATCAGACCCCGGGGAGTCACCCATGGACTCGTGGGACCCCCACAGGGCCCTCAGCATCCCCCTGGGGACCCCTCAAATTTCCCCACAGCCCCCCTTCCACATCCCTCTTGCCACCTGCATGAGACCCCCACAAACACCCCCTATCCCACGGAGTCCCTCCCACCTTTGCTGATGCCGTGGGACCCCCCACCTTTTGTGGGATCCTTCCAGCCCCCCACACTGGGGGGTCACAGGGGAGCCCCGACCCAAACCCCACACCTTGGGGCTGGAGACCCCCATGGGGGTGGGCTGGAGCCCGTGGGACCCACACCCCCAAGACATCCTGGGGGTCCCCGTGCTCCCCCCTGGGGCGCTGTGTCCGCCCCAGCTTTGGCTGCTCCAGGGGTCACCCCAGTGCATTGTGGGAAACTCCCCATCCCCACCTCGGGGGGGTCGTGGCGGGTGGGTTTGGGGGGTCCAGCCCCCCGGGGTCGGCACAGGGCCGGGCTGGGCACCCACCCCCGGGTCGGGGGGAGCTGTAGGGCCCCCCCGGGTGCGTTGGGGGCCGGGACCGGGCAGCAGCCCCGG